TGAGACAGGGTCTCCCTGTAGCTCCAGCTGGCCTGGAACTCACTATGTAGACAAAGGCTGGCCTTGAACTCACAGAGATCCGCCTGCCTCTGCCTCCCGAGTGCTGGGATTAAAGGTTTGCAACATCATACCCCGTGGTACCAAGATTCTTTAGGAGGATGGGCCTAAGGGGGAAGGAGGATAGTCTACTTTGGCCTGGGCCTTCCTCAGAGGAAGAGAGGCTGGTTCCTCATCCCTCAGGGCTGATCTAGCCAATAGCGGACATGGCTTTGAAATAGATGTATGTATGCTTACTCAGCTGCTCCTCCTGCCATCCCATAGGAGCCTGATGCCACGTACCCTGGATGGGCAGATCACCATGGAGAAGACCCCCAGCTACTTCGTGACACGGGAGGCCCCCCGCCGCATCCGTAGCATGTCCCCAAACACCAAGCTGATTGTGGTGGTACGGAACCCTGTGACCCGGGCTATCTCTGACTATGCTCAGATGCTCTCCAAGACCCCTGGCTTGCCTAGCTTCCATGCTCTGGCTTTCCGCCATGGCCTGGGCCCCGTGGATACGGCCTGGAGTGCTGTTCGCATTGGCCTCTATGCCCAGCACCTGGACAACTGGCTGCGCTACTTCCCCTTGTCCCATTTCCTGTTCGTCAGTGGTGAGCGCCTAGTCAGTGACCCTGCTGGTGAGGTGGGCCGTGTGCAAGACTTTCTGGGCCTCAAACGGGTTGTCACTGACAAGCACTTCTATTTTAATGCTACCAAAGGCTTCCCCTGCCTCAAAAAGGCCCAGGTCAGTGACCACCCCCGCTGCCTGGGTAAATCCAAGGGTAGGCCTCACCCCCATGTGCCTGAGGCTGTGGTTCAGCGCCTGCAGGCCTTCTACCGGCCTTTCAACCGCAAGTTCTACCAGATGACTGGCCAGGATTTTGGCTGGGACTGAGCAAGGCCCAATTAGTCCTGCCCTAGACACTCAGTAACCTTAATTTATGTCTGTCCATCCAGCCAGAGCAGACTGCTACACATGCTGGGTAGAGAGTATATTTAAGAAATAAAGTCTGAATTTGTATTTTCCCAATTGGCATTGATGTTGAGAGTGGAAATGGTATCCTGAGACCTCACTCTGTGGGACTCTGATCATATGCAGAGTGTCATCCCAGACTTCTTCCTTGCACCCTGGGAGATGGGCAATGCCTTTGGTCACATGTCACAAGATGAACATGTGTAGTTTAGAGAGGTTGAAGGCCTGCTCTGTGACACACAGGTAGCTCTAGAGGCTATCCACAGCCACTCTTCTCAGTCCTAGGATTGTTGTCCCCATGTCTGGATAGAAACTGAGGACCAAGGCTCCTGAATGGTGAGGCAGGTCAGAGTTGGTCAACTGTGTGTGCTATACCCATGACCTCTTTTTATTCTGCACCAGTGCCTGGGGTCTACTCACTCACTTCCGGAAACCTAATGAAACAGCTAGGCAGTATAGTGGTGACAGGTGACTAGGCATATGTGGGTGGTGCTTCTAACAGCCACTAAGGGGTTCCAGTGAAACCTTACTTGCCTTCGGATTTTGCCTACCAAGTACCATGCCCATAGCACCATGGACACTCCCCAGATCTGCTGCATTTATCTAGCACTCCCCCATCAGGGCAAAACAGGAACAGAACTAGTGCCTATCAGCATCCCACCTGCTCACTCCTAACCAAGAGAGGACAGACTCAGGCTAAGTGTTCTCTCCTATTCTAGGTGCCCTCCAGCTGTTCTGACAATAACTTCTGAGGCCAGAGACAGCCAGGCATGTCATATGTGTACTGTCTCCCAGGTCTGCCTGAGGACCTGACTGTGGCCTTTGCAGCTCAGACTCCTTGGCCTGTCCTTGACTTCTGTCCATGGCTTTTTCCCCTCTGAGATGCTTGTGGATACTCCCCATCCTGGGACACAGGCAGTTAGGGAGGATTTTGTAGGAGTGAAGAGTCTGTCAGCACCTGGTTGACAAGATTCAATGTGAGTCAGAAGTCCTACTAGTCACTGTGGCTTCTGTCTTGGTCATATGACTCCATCAGTGTTGTGGACATGAGGTCATAATGTCTTTACCAAGAAGAGGCTTAGTGGGGGAGGCCCATAGGACAGGTGGCAGGGTGCAGCATCTGCCTCTGGCTACTGGAGTCCTACCTCTTCTTCTGCTGGTTTCTGGGCTCAGTGGATCCTCCTGTCTGGAGCTGCTCTGAGGGCCTGGCACTTTCTCCAGGTCTTACTGACCCAGGCCAGGCCAGCAAAGTTGGGGGCTCGTTCAGGGTTTCCCTCCCAGCACCCACTGAACAACTGCTATGGCAATATATTAAGCAGATGTTGGCCCAGATGTAGATGAGAGGAACACAGTCTCCTCCAGACTCAGTCTCTGACATGGGTGAGGGGACAGGGTGACCTGGTGAAATATGAAGACATGTTCCATTCCAAGACCCTGTTAGGCAGAACCTACTAGGCTTGGTAACTCTGTCCCCATTCCCTATACTGGAAGTGGGAAGAAGGGTAGGAGGGTAGAATAGCCCTTGGCCCCTGGGTCAGTTCCCAGAGTAGTGCAAG